CATCCAGCCTATGTTGTCACGTCTTTAATATTATCAATATTTTTTTTCTTGTTATACACATATATTGAGATATTAATACTACAGTTTAATAAAGTAGGTTTTAAAATTCCATAGATGTATTAAATAGTCCTTATACTACTAAATTATAAGTCGGATACTGTTTAATAAGGATAAGTTCTTTACAATATGACAACACCGATTAGAGGCGAGGGAGCCTATTCATTCATTTATTACCTTGTAGTACGTATCGCACGTGTGCGGTAAAGCTTTGTTGCCGCTATCTCCCCGGCTGTATTAACGCATTTTCTTAGCTTGTAATCCTTAAGTGTTTATTTTATTGACTTTTTCTATTCAAAAACTATAAAATATGGTTCGCCAGTGCCAAATTTGCAAGAAATTTGACTTAAATAATCCATTTAAGTATTGAAACGACTTTTGACCGGTAGGCAACTCTCAATTTACCCATTGGGAGTCAGTGGCGTTGTTGTAGAAAGGCGCTTATTTAGATAATATTTTAGTAAAATGTAAAATCTGAATTTTTTCTTTTACATTACATTATTTACTTACTTACATTGTAACAAAATCATAATTATAACCCTGTTAATAATTAATAATGTTTTTATTAAAAATATATTCCGGTTTATTCTAAAATTATCTTCAGAATCTAAAATAACATACAAGAATTTTAAAATGATATTACATTATGAAACAATATTTTTTAATATACCGGGTCGTCTCAAAAGTGGCTCACCCTTATAACTTTTTTTTATTTTTTCAGATAAAAAAACAGATTTGTATGTTAGTAGGTATATGACATAAATTAGGATTTATTGACGTATTCAATTGTTTTTTGGTCTCTTCCTGTTTCACCGAAATGATTACATCTTTTGATTTTTAAAGGCACCCTCGGTATATTGCTACTTTATTCGATAAAAAATGACACTCTGAATAGAATGACATATCATATGTCAACTTTTGACATTGTCGCTTAAAAACATATCCTATTTTAAATTTCAATCCAGTTTTTTCAATCCACTAAGTTTTAATCAAGGAGCCTTGGAAAAATAGTTTTGATCGTCTAATAGGTTTCGTGTCTTGTCTAGGCCGGTTAAAAGATGTACAAATCGTATTTTAATCATACATATGTCAATTTTTTCAAATGGAACAAGGGTGACTCATTAGCATATTTGGAAAAAGCATTTTTTTTATGAATATATTGATACCACACACTTGGTATTTCGAGACAGATTGTCGTTATGAACCGCGTGTTACAATTACAATTAAACCATATGCGAAAATGTCAAAAGTTGACATATGGTATGTCATTCTATTCAGAGTGTCATTTTCTATCGAATAAAGTAGAAATATACCGAGGGTGCCGTTTAAAAATTAAAAGTTATAGTCATTTCCGGTGAAACAAGAAGTGACCAAAAACAATTGAATGCGTCAATCAATCCTAATTTATTTCATATACTAACATACTAAATCTTGTTTTTTTATTTGAAAATATAAAAAAATTATGGGGATGAGCCACTTTTGAGACGCACCCGGTATAATAAAGACAGTACCGAGTTAAATAAATGTAGTTTTTATTTATCCACTTCCTATCACCTTCCTTGCTTTAATGGAACAGATATTATGTTTTCTCTAATTTACATAATAAAACATCACTTAGCCAGAAAAAAAATTACAACAATCATTTTTTTTTTCTCTCCCTGTCGCCGATTCTATTATATCTGTGGAATAGATCCTGTTTTGATTAATATTAGGGCTGGTAAATGTTTGACTAAAATTAATAATTTATTATTAATTTCAAAAATTACCTAATTTCGATTATAAAATTTCTTCTATAACGTGTATTTTATTATTTTTATCCTTTTTGGACTCTAAATTGTTTTTTCTAAACTTTTGTTTAAAAAACCTGTCCTAAATCTTAATAAAATATAAAAAAGTTTAAATACGATATATTTTTAATTTAATTATAGCTTCATTAAAATAAAAAAATTACCCGGCTATGATACGGAGAGTTCAGGTGTACTTGAGAAACGAAAGACAGTGTTGTGTTTCTCGGCAGAGTCGTCAGGGAACGACCGTTACGACAGAGACAACCTATCTATCGCTCGTGTCGCACTCGTTATAACCTAAAACAATAACAAAACAATAACAAGACAGTGTCTGACCGCATGTTCCAGCTATTTATGAATGAGATGCTCAGTCTATATTTTATTTTAAGTCTATGGCTAAGACACTCGAAAAAGTTCCTCAGAACTTACGACCGAGAAAAATCAAAGGTTTTCCTTGATTTAAGTAAAAACAATCTTCGGATTGTCACGGGGTTTCTAACAGGACACTGTCTCCTCAACGAACACCTCAGTAGGCTGAAACTGAGAAACAACGGCGAATGCAGATTTTGTGGGGAAAATGGGGAAACACCAAAATACCTTATCACTGAGTGCGCCGAGACGACGACCATTCGTGCCATGAACCTTGGTACGTCTGATGTCGAGGATGGAGAGCTGGCCTCTGTGGAGCCGTCTCAGACACTGGCTTTTGTTAAAGCCCTTAGACTGTATGATGAGTTATAACTCGTTATAACTCAAGAAAGGGGAACACACAATAGATCTATAAGGTCGCGGTGATTAACTCCCCTCCTAAACATTCTACATTCTACAAAGCATTTAGATCATTTGCTAGCTCAGAATTAAAATTATTAGAGTTAAGCAACTCGTATTTTCATTGGAGGACATTGTCATGTTTATTTCAAACCACTATTCAACGAGAATATTCCTATAGTTTAACAAAATGACTGTAAACCACTCTATACAGGGTTGTTCACCACATACGACACGGAAGATTGTAGCTAAACGATTAGATTTTTACAAATTGTAAGTTTTGGGTTCGTTGAAGAACTATTAGATCTACAATTTAAAAATATTTTTACAAGTTACAGAGTGTCCCAAATAAATAAAAAATATCAAAGTTGTATTTTTTTAAATGGAACACCCTGTATATTATTTTGATTAGGGTTTATTATACTTAAACCTTACCGTTTTTGAAATATTTTCAATTTTGTGAAATTGCAGTATAAATTTTAAGGCTTCATTTCTCCGAGGGTATCAAAGTTTTTAATACTAAATATTTACTGAAGTTTATTTATTGATCAGTTATTGTGTTGCTGTAATAAAAATTTTACTACCTTATACAGAGTATATTTATTTTAAATAATTATTAGCTTTAAACCGCAATAACTTGTTTAATTTAAATGGAACGCCCTGTATATTTTGAGAGAATCAGATGCACAATTTAATTGTCTATCAAATTGTATTATACCATTTTTTACCTATCTCTTCAATCTTCCGTAGAAAATGCATTTTCTTGTAATTTAGAACTCATTTATCAATATACCCATGGAATACTGATATTTTAGATTATTTTTAAAGATGTACCAAATTTTTAAAGAGCACAGATACTAATATTGTCAATAAAGTTCGTTTATTTTATTAAAAAATAAAAAAAACTATTTAAATATTTGTTAAAGAGGTCCAATTAATATGATTCCAGTATTCAAACTACATTAATTGACTGTTTGCGTTGATTAATAATAATTGCTCCAAATACTAAAAAACTGAATTATTTATGTGTATTAGACAGTGTGGTAAAAAAACACCTTAAAAATGATATTTCATTTTTTGACAAATGCTACAGAGACGTTCATTTTCATAACTTATTATTATATTGATTGCTGATTCAAATCCACATTTATTTAGAATAATTTATTAACGAACACAATTAAGTATGTAATTAATTAGTATTTGGGCGGAAATACCGGTGGTATATTTAATTAATGGTAGACTCTTTTATAAAGATTTAAATAGTTTTCTTTTTGCATACAAATGGGCTAGTAATATCATCGTTTTACTAAAAACGATAATATTACTAGCCTGTACATTTTGTACATTTGTTGTTTTAAAAACAATCTAAAAGGCCAATATTCCACGGGTAAATGCATTTTCTACGAAAACTTGAAGGGATAGGTAAAAAGTGATATAATACAATTGGATAGACAATTAAATGGTGCATCTGATTCTCATAAAATATACAGGGTATTCCATTTAAATTAAACAAGTTATTACCGTTTAAAGCTAGTAATTATTTAAAATAGATTTTTAGACACTCTGTATAAGGTAGTATAGTTTTTATTATTGCAACACAATAACTGGTCAATAAATAAACTTCAGTAAATATTTAGTATTAAAAACTTTGATACCCTCGGAGAAATGAAGCCTTAAAATTTATACTGCAATTTTCCAAAATTGAAAATATTTCAAGAACGGTAATGTTTAAGTGTAATAAACCTTAATCAAATTTACATTTATTTTAATCGTAGAAACTAAAAATTCAATAATATAGAGGGTGTTCCATTTAAAAAAATACAACTTTGATATTTTTTATTTATTTGGGACACTCTGTATCTTGTAAAAATATTTTGAAATTGTAGCTCTAATAGTCCTTCAACAAACCCAAAACTTACAATTTGTAAAAATCTAATCGTTTAGCTACAATACTCAGTGTCGTATGTGGTGAACAACCCTGTATATATATGAATTATTGGTTAGGTTCAAAATTTTTATCTCCTTAAATAAATTTAAGTGTTAAAATTATCAGGCATTTGCATAAAAGCGTGTATTTTGGGTGGTATTCCATAAAATTTGCAGGGTTTTGAGGGAACAGAAAATGCACAGATTACAAAAATAAATTGAAAATAATGTTTATATTAAAACAGCATTATAATATGTGACTTACAGCATTATACGTCTTTAAAAACTTTTGAAAGAAAAATATGTTTTATCCAGAATTTTGGGAAATAAAAGATATTTTAACGCTAACTATCAAAATACTGAAGTTTTCGTCACACTAATCACCTTCGAAAATTTTAGAAAGTAGTTAATTCAATTGCAGAAAGCTTTCAAACTGATATTAACAGTTTTGTTTTGTTTCAGGGTCCGAGTAGAGTATTACGTCAATGAAAATACTTTTAAGGAACGACTACAACTATATTTTATTAAGAATCAAAGATCGAGTAAGTATATTAAATTAAATTATTACGAGGTAAAATTATTCATTTAACGTTCAAACTGGATAATTACATTATTATTAAGCTTTATATTAAAGTCAAATCAGGTTTGATTTCCAGTAATGTTTTTTAATAATCCTGCTCTCGTGAATATACATTTAGTTTACTAAACAATTTGATTGCTTCCTTTTTTTTACTGCCATTACTCGCTGACGAGTATTCGACACGCATCAGAAGATGGTAACGCAAGGCCTTTTCTGTCATGAGGTTTTCTGTGACTGAAAAGCCCGATACGTGATGTTGATCTCTCTTCCGCACTCCGGACATTCAAAAATCTCATTACTTTGTTGCCTCTTTTCTTTTTGATTGTCTTTATTAACTGAATTTACAATTCTCCTCCACTGCGTTCTATTGTGCGCTGCTTCCTCCCACTGATGCTGCATACTTATCCCCTTTAAGTTTTCATGAAAAGCATGCTCGTATCTTTTGAGTTGTCCACCCGGTTTCCTCTTACCCTCTACAAATTCACCGTAAAGAAGAGATTTCGGTAGGCGGTTTTCTTACATCCTGCATACGTGGCCAGCCCATCTTAAGCGAGATTTAGTAATCATGACTTCAGCGCTGTCGCAGCTTGCTTTTTCAAGGACTGATACGTTTGAGACATGGTGGTACCATTTGATTCTTAACTAAAGTTGTCTAAGGTGCCTCTGTTGCAACTTGTTTAATGCGCTCGTGTGCCGGCGGTACGGCACCCAGGTTTCGCTTCAATATAACATGGTGGGGATTATTACTGCTCGATACACTGCAAGTTTCGTTTTTGTGCTCAAGTCATGATTGCAGAAAACCCTGTCTTTTAATTTCCAGAATGCTCTTGAGGCGCTGCTGATTCTGTGATGAATTTCAGAGTCGATATTTGCCTTTTTCGAAATCACACTGTCGAGGTTAAATTCCGATACATACATATTCCAATAGTTCTTCTTCGATTTTTATAGCGCTGTTATGGTTTTCCGGGGGTCTGCCCATGATTTTAGTTTTATTGATGTTCACTTTAAGGCCAAAAGTCTCGTATGCCCAGGTATATGTGTTCGGCATTTCCTGTAATTGCTGTAACGCATTTGCAACTAGAGCGCAGTCATCAACGTATTGTAGTTCTGTGATCAATTTTGTACGTGTTTTTGCCCTGAGTCTTTTTATGTTGAACAGACCGCCGTTATACCTGTATCTAACACCCATTCCTCTTTCCTGCAGTTTGCTGTCAACTATAATAGCTTCCTTACATGTATACAGGGGTATCAAAAATTGCTGGTATATTTTAAATATTTATTTTACATAAAAACTGTTTGGTTTGGTTAGGTTAGGTTAAAATACAACACTATGTATTCTTTTAAATAAGTCGAAACAGATTTAAATGCTCTTTCAAACTATATTAGGGTTTCTGATAGGTATAATGGTAGGTAGCTCATGGAGCTACAGAGCTCAGGTATAATCTGGCTCACATTTTGAATAAGAAGCGAGTATTCAATAAAATTGTAATCAAAATGGCTGGTGTCGCCATGCTAATTTTCTAGTGACACTTAGAAGCTATTTTCAAAATCAACATTAGCTTATGGATTTTATTTACATTTATAACAGGTTATTTTTATTTAATTTACCATAATACAATTAAATTTTATTAATAAGTAAGTATTTATAATTTTATCAAGAAAAATAAAGCAGTATCTGCTGGCGGAATGAATGGATATGTTACTAGTGATTTTATTTTGTGAGGACAATAATTTCCTGTTGGCCTGAAGGATTTATGCTCATAGATATCTAAATCGGAATTTTCTTGCCAAGCGTTCCTTTGAAAAAATACTTTTCCTATTTCGCAGAGCTGATAGTGTGGTATATGAAAAACCTATTAGGCAGAAACCTTAGGTATATGAAAAACCTATTAGGTGAAGAAAATGAATTTGCCTTAATTGGCTCTTTTATTAGAAAATCCAATATATCTACAAGTCATTGTAATACAGGGTGGCGCACCTCATTCGCCTCGGTTGATTATAGGAAAACGGAAAGATGTAGAAACAAAATATTTTATGGGTATATGTACACAGGCAATGTGCATAATTATTTTAAAATGTACAGGGTGTATCAGAACTAAAATCCATCCAAAGTTATATTTTTTCTTATAAAACCCCCGGTATTTTATTTTATTTTTGGATTCTTTGGCATAAAATAAGGCATTTATTATAAGCGTTTAATATATTAAAATGCTTTGGTTTTTAAGATATTTAAAAATATTTAAATATGCATGCTATAATAAAAATGTTTGTCAACACCCTGTACATTACTTTTCAGAATTAATTCTTGTGCTGACTTTGAAGCCAGAGAAATAAACTTTACTAAAAAATTGATTGCTTTCTTAAATATATACTGGGGTATCAAAAAGTGCTGGTCTATTTTAAATATTTATTTTATATAAAAACTTCGTTATTTCAAATGCAACACTATGTATTTTTTAAAATATGTCGAAGCAGATTTAAATGCTCTTTCAAACTACATTAGGGTTTCCTATACCTATCTGGCTCAGATTTTGAATAAAAAGCGATTTTTCAATAAAATGGTAATCAAGATGGCTGGTGTCGCCATGGCAATTTGCTAGTGACAGTTAGTAGCTATTTTCAAAATCGACATTAGTTTATTGACTTTATTTATAGTTATTAACGTAATAAGGCCGATAAACAACTTGGCTGCTTATGATCCTCGGCTATCGCCTCGGATCACAAACTTCAGCCCGGCCGTTATTTGTTATCGGCCGTGTTGCGTTCTAGATTTTTCGTCATACTGCAGATTTTTTAGAGCAATAAACACTACTATTTAATAACAAATTTTATTGAACAATAACACAAGTAAGGATAAAAAATACATAATGTCTTATACTAAAATTCATTTTTCATGATAATGAACATGGAAATTAAAAGTGCACTTGTTGTTCTTAGAAATCTGTAATCCTTCCCAGGGATTTACAGATTTTATAGAAGAAGATGATGCTACTGAAGAATGGCAAATATTTGTATCCACTAAAGACACATTATTTTTGGAGCTATCATGAAAAAGTTGATTTGTTATTTTCATTCTTTTGGAAACTGATTTTCTATGTAAGTTTCTGCCACTGTTGAAGACTCCCATCCTCCTAGCTCCTTTAGCGATAGTAAATCACCACCATTTTCGGCGAGCATGGTTGCTGATGATCTACGAAATGAATGCCCTGTATAACGTTCTGGATTCTCCAAGTTCAAAAATTTTGCAATTTTCTGCGGTACGCTCCCGATGGTATGTATACCGACGATTTGCTTAACACACTTGCCTTTCTTGTAACCAATGAAAAATTTTGGATTGTCAAAGTTACGAGGACGCAGGTTGATGTATTTTTGTATAAACCATAGGCATCAAACGGAAGGCCCGTTTTTGGAATAAGAAATTTCCTATCTTTCTTATTTTTAGTATTTCTTAATGAGACAAGAATATTTTTCTCCGAATCTTCGAAATCATCAACTGTGAGTGACCAAAGCTCGCTACGCCTACAAGCTCCAAGAATACCAAGCACCAATACAATTTTTTCGAGTAACCAGGTGTAATCATCGGCATCCAGTAGAAAATTATTTATGTCATTCTCCGACAGAACTTTGGCTTTTTTGGTGAATAACCTTCGTTTTGCGCCTCAGAAACATGAACAGTTTACCAAATCTATGAACAAATATAATTTAGATGAGTATGATTAAATATCGAAGAATATAATGGCTTTTTACCTTGATATGTCGATGTTTTCATATACTCTCAACGCAAGCTTCAGCATGGATATCTTTGTCCACAGTGATGTAGGAGAATACATTTCAGACATTCTTTTAGCATAAGCCAGCAATACCGCTTCATTTACGCTGTTTATACTTCTATCCTGCCGCCACTTCAAAAAATTGTCATATTCCTGCTGATATCTCTCTCTGGTTATAGTCGGAAGTATAATTTTGAGTAGCCGCAGCCGCTTCCTCCTGTATTTCCAACGGAATTTCTCGCGACATCTCGCTATGGTCTATTTTCCCAATTTTTGAAAAGTCCAACTGACAATAAATAGTCATTGTTGCAGGTGACAGACGTTACGATTACCTTAGAAACTTAACGGCCGCCGGCCGTTATGATAACGTCCGGCGGACGTTATATGCATCTTTTCCATTCTGATTTTGCTTATGTTATAATAATATAACAATATAGTATGACGAAAAATTTGTAACAGTTTACTTTTATTTAATTTACCTACAATAGTTTAATAAGTAAATATTTATTATTTTATCAAGAAAAATACACAAATAGTTCTTTGATTTATATTACAATGACTTGTAGATATATTGGATTTTCTATAAAAGAACCAATTAAGGCAAATTCATTTTCTTCACTTCCAAAGACAGGTTTCTGCCTAATAAGCTCTGCGAAATAAGAAAAGTAGTTTTTCAAAGGAACGCTTGTCAAGAAAATTGCTATTTGGATATCTTTGTGCATAAACCTTTGAGGCTAAGAAGCAATTGTCGTCACAAAATAAAATCACTAGTAACATATTATCTATTCCTTCCGCCAGCAGATACTGCTTCATTTTTCTTGATAAAATAATAAATACTTACTTATTAACATTATTGTAGGTAAATTAAATAAAAATAACATAAATTTAATTCAAAATTGATAGGCATAAGAAACCCTAATATAATTTGAAAGAGCACCCTCGCAATTTCTCAGGTATCTAATGAGTTATATGTCAACCCTTTTTCTATGGATATGTCATTATTCCTATTATACGAAGGAAATGTTGGACGACATCAACTTCTGACATTTCTTACGTCAAAACTAACTGTCACACTAAGTCACACTGTCACACTAAGGCTGTATTCCGTTGCAAAACTAGGCGAACCAGACCGGTAAACTACATTAAAGGGCGGTTCCTGAAAAACATCGGTTTGATACGGAACTGCTTGAGA